CACACACACACACACACACACACACACACACACACACACACACACACACACAGAGCATGTGAACTATATAAGTTATTTTTCCTTTTTTGGTTTTTGGAGATAGGACTTCTCTGTGGCTTTGGAACCTGTTCTGGAACTTACTCTGTAGACCAGGCTGGCCTTGAATTCATAGACAGCTCCCTGTCTCTGCCTCCTGAGTGCTGGGATTAAAGGCGCCACTACTGCCTTGCAGTTAATGTTTTTTTATATAAGCATTTTCTTTTTATTTTTTTTGAGACAGGGTCTCTCTATGCAGCCCTGGCTGTCCTGAAACTCATTCTGTAAATGAGTTTGGGCCTCAGAATCACAGAGATTACCTGCCTCTGCCTTCAAGTACTGGGACTAAAGGCACTAGACACTAAATCGGGTTTATAAGCACATATTTTTATGAACCGTCACTTTAAAAACTATCAAAGAAAAAGATGCATGCAATTAAGCAAATACTGGCATTGCTCAAAAGTCCAAAAAACAGATTATAGTTAGCTCACATTTATGTTTCTTAGGGTGACTGACTAAAATTGAATCAGTGAGGCTCAAAATAGCTTTAATATGCCAAAGTGTTAGTGTTTAAATTCAATTATAAAGGCTAGAGGTATAGCTCAGAATAGAACAGAGCACAGTTCTAAAATGTGCAACGCCCCAAGTACCCCAAAATTAAAAAACAAGCCAAAGTTGAATAATCACTCTAATGTGCAATATGCTATTCAGCTTTACAGTGGGTAATAATATATATTAGATATATAATAATATTGGAACAACCCAAAAGACATCTTAACATTTTACATATTGCCAATAAACAGTTATTATGCATATTATTATATAAAATTATGATCTTTTTTAAATTTAAAAGCTAACTTATTAAACATTTTATAGTCTAGTATTCTATAACAGCTATATCAAAAGATTGTTAGAGGTTGGGCAAGGTGCGCACATCTTCAATCTCAGCACTCGGGAGGCAGAAGCAGGTGGCTCTCTGAGCTCGAGACCAGCCTGGTCTACAGAATGAGTTCCAGGACAACCAGGGCTACACAGTGAAATCCTGTCTCAAAAATCAAAACCAAAGTCAGGTTGTTAGAATTAGATAAGCTGTCACTGTGCCAAATATTACCACCAAGTAAAGCAGTGTACCACCAGCAGACTAGACCTATGTGGCAGAACTCCAGGAAGCTAGTAGACGTCACTGCATTTCTTTCAGGGCAAAGGAGTTGTTCGTACCTCAGCCACGTGAAGAGGAGTGGAGTGGCAGTTGTCAAGACGCACTCCCTGGAAATACGTAGCAGTTATCTCAGTGTATTTCTTCATGTGCGCCCACAGATAGGGACAGTCCTCTGGTTTATTCCCATAGCGCAATTTAACACTGTCACCCCAGCAAATAAGTTCTCTCCTTAAATAGACGTCTGAACCTGTTAGAGGAGAACAATTGCCTTCAGTGATGCAAGAAACTGGATGATAACAATTACCTCCAGAAAAAAAATGCTGTTTTCAAACCGTTATTTCTTCCATAAATAATATTATGGCTAAATTTTAAACTTTAATTATGATTTTATCTTATGTGCATAGGTGTTTCACCTGCATGTATGTCTGTGTACCATGTATGTGCTTGGTGCTCTCAGAGGCCAGAGGAGGGTGATTGATTCCCTGGAAGTGGAGTTACAGGTGGTTGTGAGTCTCCAGGGAAATGCTGGGAATTGAACCCAGGTCCTCTGGAAGAGCAGCCAGTGCTCGAAATGCTGAGTCAGTTCTCCAGCCTCCTGGATAAAGTTACATCTAAGACGAGGCTACAGCGCAGAAACAGCACTGACATGTGTAAAAGCCACTGGGTTGAACTCCCAACACTTTGGGGGGAAAAAAGTAAAATGGCCTAGGAGGAAGTTTTAAAATATCAATTTTAACATAACTACTTTGTACAGAATTGCAGCTTCAGAGTCTCCTCTTAAAATGTCAGCTCAGGATGAAAAGCTCGAGTTCTTTGGTTTTGTTTTGTTTTTTGAGACAGGGTTTCTCTGTATTTTTTAAAGCTTGCCCCAGAACTAGCTCTTGTAGACCAGGCTGGCCTTGAACTCCCAGAGATCCACCTGCCTCTGCCTCCTGAGTGCTGGGATTAAAGGCGTGCGCCACCACCACTCAAGTTCTTCTTAAGGAGAAAACAGTAACATCATCCTGCTTTTAAAACTTACTTCTTGTTTTGAGAGAAGATGTTGAGCAAGTTTCTGGAACTCACTCTGTAGACCAGGCTGGCCTTGAACTCACAAAGATCTGCCTGCCTGTCTCCCTAGAACTGGGATTAAAGGTGTACGCTACCACATCCCAAAGTTTCACCCAAATTTTTAAAGCTCCATCTCTACCCTTAAATTATCCTCCCCACTCCCTTATAGCAACAAGCATATTAAAACCATGGTATATAGGAGAATGGCTTTTTCCACTTAGAATTCCCAGAAAAGGGAGAACAGAAAAACCTTAACTCAAAAACTATATCCTATAAAAATAAACACAATTTTTAAATTAACTGCAATGTTACTGAAATACATTTTTAGCCCTGAAATTCTGGGGCATAAAAATACAGCGATGGGTTTCCTGCCAGTGAAGAAGGGAAAGAAAAGCCTCTAAGGGCAAGGAGGATTCTGGGAATAACTGTCCGTCGCTTGCCTTTCCAGTTAACTTAAAGCATCCCTGGCCAATAAGTGAAAACATCTGACAACAATGTAATCTAACAACAGTGTTTTAAACATGCAATGGAGGGGCTGGAGCAATTACTCAGTAGTTAGGAGTCCTGGTCACTATTCCAGAGGACCTAGTTCAACTCCCAGCACCCATATGGAGGCTCACAACGATCTATAAATTCAATCCCAGGGTACCTGATGGCCTCTGTGGGTACTGCACGCATGTAGTACACATACATACCTGTAGGTAAGACATCCATACATATTTTAAAAAACCAATAGAATATTCTGCTCAAATTGAAGCCTATGTAGACTAACATTATATGAAATAGGTACAGAATAGATACTTAGTTTGAGAGGTGGGGGTGAAGGAGGCAGGTTCTCTTTCAATCTGATGCATTTCTGATACCTCTAGCTAAACAGTTTATAAACCATGAACCTATTGTTAAAAACAAACAAACAAAAGCAATAAAACAGACCCCAGTCTGAGCCTTCCACGAGCTCTTGTTTCTTATCTATAGAGAAGTTAAAAGTCAGGGACCTGGCTCAGCAAAATTGCGAAGGGGATCATCGCCCATGACCCATCCATTGTGCGCCATCAGGAAACAAGCTTTATCTGGGTGGTGGATCATGGACTCTTCTGCGGATAAGGCCATTTCTTCAAAGGGGAAGGTAAAATACCTAGGAAGACAGAATTTAAAGAAGGTCTACAAGAACACACTCTCTGAAGAGGATGAGAAGTAACAACATTAAAAATTTAAAGAATTAAAAATAAAAGTTTAAGAAATAACTAACATTAACCTTCACAACTTCATAGACTTATAGGGAAACCATTGAGGTTTTCCTACCCTCTAGCTGTCCAACATATGCTGTGTGTTACTAATGTTATTTTGCCTGAATGCACTAAGTACACTGTGCCTATATTTGATGTCCCATGGAGGACAGAGGAGGACAATGCACCCTCTGGAACTGGAGTTATGGATGCTTCTGCTGTGCAGAAGCTGGGAATTGAACCCAGGTTCTCTGCAAGAGCAGCAAGTTCTCTTTACCTGCTGGGCCATCTCTCTAGCCCGATGCTACATGTTTTTATGTAAGGAGCAGGCACTTGCTCTCTCCAGCTAACACTGAACTGACTGCTGCTAAGTGCTATTCGTAGAGTGCATCTCCAAAAGTTCATGCACGGAATCTTACCTCCTGCCCCTGTTCTTTTGACACAGTTTCACTTTGCAGCACAGGCTGACCCTGAGCTTGGACTTCTATCTCTGCTTCCACACCGCTGGGATTACAGACATGTGCCACCACAGCAGGTGTGGAGCCTTAACTCCTTAAAGTAGTGGTGCTGGGAGATGGAGCTGAGAGACAGGTGTCCTGGTTATGGGCAGGACTCCCTCGTGAGTGGATTAATAGCTTTCTCTTCTGGGTGAGCTCTTCCTCCTGGGGAATTTGCGTGTTTATCATGATGGTGGACCTTCAGAAGCCACCTTACATGTCTGTCTTCTATTTGCACTCACTTGCCAGGCATTTTCCTGACATGAACTGAGAGATCCCAAAGCCCTGGCCAGAAGATGAGCAGATACTGGTTCCATGTTCTCAGACTTTCTGGTCTGTGGACCCTTATCCAAATTAAACTCTATTTCTTTATAAATTACCCAATCTTGGGCATTATGTTTTAGCAACAGAAAACAGACTGACAATAAATATGCAGTACTCTAGAAATATTAGTGTAAATGAATGTAATCTGGTTCAAACTGGTGATAGGTTTTCTAACTAAAGAAAAACAATATGAATGAGTATTAAGCCTATTTCTGAATCAGAACTTGTATTTTAATATAATGTATTGAAGAAAAAGAAACATTTAAGTTGAAAAGTTAAATGTTCTCAGTTTTTAATTATCATTTTAAGAAATAGAGAAATACCTGGTAACTAAAGGATGTTTCCTAGTGATGGGTCCTAGTTTAGGGCCATGGCCAGCCAGTCGTTCATAAAACACGTTTCCCAAAAGACAATTAACTGCCTAGAAAACATTGGATTATGTTACAATGCCAATGAAAACAGCAGGGACTCAGACTCAAAGAAAAGCAGCGACCCAAAACTAGGCGAACCTGCTCCTGATGACAGTTGATGAGGCGGTGCTTCTCGGAGTTCAACTCCTCCAGTCTCCTTCGGAACCAACCGCAGCACTCTTCGACGGCCGCCGGCCCATTGCTAGCACAGAGAGAGCAAAACAAATGTTAGTGCTTTCGGAAAGCCAGTGTCACAGAAATCTTAAATACCCTCATCAGGATCTGAGCCATGACTGAGGAGCTTTGCCAACTGTAAGAGGTCTGACTTACACAGAGAACAGAGGAAAAGGTCAGGTGTTGAGATTGTCACAACACGGCAGGTTACTTCATTTCATTTTTAAAAACATTTTCACATTTGTCTATTTAATATGTAGGGGCTGTGTGCGTGTGTGGGGGTGCACATGCCATAGCATGTTTGTTGTGTGGTCAAAGGACAACTTTCCAGAGCGGTTTTCTTCTATTATGTGGGTGCTGAGGAACAATTTCAAGTCATTAGCAAGTGCCCTTACCTACTGAGTCGTCTCATCAATCCCTGACTTTATTTCATTTTATATGATGGCTTTAATAATCAAGTATTTGTGAGTACTATGACAGGGCAAATACAACATACTCATGTGGTATAAAAGTCGCCAGTGCGATGTTCATATCAACAGCACAGCCCAGCCGTCTGTATTCAGGGTCCTGAATAATCTTAAGATGTTCCTTTGGATCAGACTTAGCTACTCTCCTGTTTTCTGAAATAAATAAATAATGGTATTTTAAAAGTAAACAATGATAGAATGTCACTTTTTCAATTTTTCAGAATATAACTATTCCACAGAAAATAAAACAAAAAGTTAACAAGCACCTTTCCTCCCTCCTTTCTCCTCCTCCTTACATACTCCCCCCATACACAGTGAAGGAACATAAAAGGAACAACTTTTCGAAGAGAGAAACGGAACTCCTTAGTTCAGCTTCACTGTTCACTACCAAAGCCTTATGCCTTTAAAAGTCTCTAGCACACGCTGGCTCAATGAATGTTCTAATGGATGAATGATAAAAACCCTGCAAGTAATCTATCAAAAGCACTAGCAAACAAAATATGTTCAAAACCACGCACTGCCTAGCAGGCGCTAAAAGAAGCAGTTAAACAAAATAATAAATTCATACTGTCAATGAAAAAATAAAACATATAGTTTAGTTTATAGTCTTATTTGTATGTACTAAATAGTAACACAAGACATGTATACACGTTATATAGAAAGTTATAAACTACAGATAAATTCTGTTTTTTCTTGAAAAATAATTAGGAAGAAACTACTAGTTAGTAATTTTAAGATTTGAGAAAGAGAAAATTGGTATCTATCTATGTAATGTGCTTCTCCCTTCCTAGTGCTAAGATTAAAGGCATGCACCACTATGCCAAGAAAAATTGGAGTTTTGTAGTATAAAGAAGCCACAAATACTATATATAAAGATTTAATGATTATGCTAACCAGAGAGAAAGAACCATCCCTTTAAGAGTAACCTTAAATGTCCTAAAAAGCGACAGGGACAATCTAGTTTAAAGCCTTTACCTTGAGTGAGAAGTCTCCTAAACTGCTCAACTGCTTTGTGAATGTCTACCTGGAAAAACTCCCAGAGCTGAATCCTTGGGAAAATGTCCTCCCAGACTATTTTCCGAATGCACTGAAAAATTTCAATGTTAAGAACAACATAAAATGTATCTGACCACATTTCTTTCTCCATATTAAACCAAATTTGACACATGTTCACTTATAATTTGCTCTTTGGAAGTTGGTGGGGGGTCTTCTCCATGCACTTACATCCATGTGTTGATCATTCTCAATCACAGCAGGGACTCCCTTTTCTCTGTACTTCCCATCTGCCACAGCACAGGAGAAATGCCAAAATGCTCGGTCTAGGACCCAGGCAGGTTTCAAGTGTGGAGAATTCACAAGATTATAAGCAGCTTCTGGATGTTCCTGGATCCACTTACTATTAGTAGCTTAAAGAAAAGGGAAGAACACATCTCGTAGTCAGATTGGACTTTACAATCACGATTAGTTATTTTATAAATAATAAATTATCATTTATTTAGAAAGTAACTAATTTACTCAGTGTTTATTTGTACCTATAAAGAATAAACACTTGGATGAAGACAGGACACCTTAGGAACACAGATCTGATAATAAAACTTAAACTAAGCAAGGCCTGGTGGCTTATATTTATTCATTTAGTGAGTTTTTGAGACAGGGTTCCTCTGTGTCATCCTGCCTGGAACTTGCTCTGCAGACCAGGCTGGACTTGAACTCAGAGATCCACCTGCCTCTGATTTCGCAAGCTGGGGTTAAAGGCATGTGCCACCACTGCCTAGCATGAATGATTTTTTAAAATCCAACTGTTTGCCATTACTACTGGAGACTATTACCAATAGTGATGAAATACATATGTCTTCATACTTTCTATAGCTACTTAGGAAAGACTTTATGGAACAGCTACGCCTTAAAACTACACTATCCAGAATTTCCATTGTTGACATATGTAAATCAGTGGTTTCCAGACTTTGCATCCTGCTGAGTACACAGTGGATCCTTGTAAGGCACATGGGGTTCAAGCGGAAGGCCATGGCAAGTCAAGCTGCCCTGACAGGCACGGGGACAAATATCTCCTTAGAGGACTGCTGTCAGGAAAACAACACATCTATTTGGGAACCCAAACAGTCTAAGTTTACTCTTTTTCATACTTTAGATGTCCAAGGGCACTCTTTAATCATGTAAAAGATTTAACTTTGAGTATCTATCCATATTTTTCTCTTCAATAGTGAAGAATGCTGTTGGTATATTGGGCTTCTGGGAATAGCCTCATAATACAGCCCTTCCGGGCTGCAACTCAATTTGTAGCCCAGGCTTGTCTTGAACTCACAGTAACCCCCGACCTCCACCTCCCAAGAGCTGGGACTACCGGCACACCCTCCACGTTCAGCATTATATTTTTAAGTGTGTGGTAGAGAACAAGGGCTCCTGCTGTACTGAATCCCCTTGTCCGTCTGAAGAGTATTTATATTCAGGTGGAAACATGTCCCATGTCACTTATGCTCACTCTCCTACTTTTACAAGCATCATATGCAAAGTACTTCCATGTTGAATATATGCTCACCTAACACTGCTTTCTTCGAAAGTAAAAAGGCCTTATTCCATAAAGTAGTTTTTAAAATCGAAGGCCTTTCAACTGTCTTTTTAATCTTTAGAATGAACGTTACATAAGGTCTGGGGACATGCCTAAAGTAGCAGATAGCTTGTTTTGTTTAGTGTTTATAAGGTCCAGAGTTGAATTCCTCACATGCAAAATGCTACTACTAACAATAATAATGTAAAATGAAAACATTAATAAATAAAATAAGAATTTAATGTTCACGCCAAAACACTGAATCTCATACCTGTATGATTGTAGACAACATCTGTAATACACAGAATATTCCACTCTCTTTTCAGTTTATCTACTAGCTGCCCGACATCATTCCAGGAGTATCTTTTGTGAGGCCTTGAAAAGTCAGGATTTAATTCCAACTGGTCAGCAAGGGAGTAGCATGACCTAGAAAGTCCAAGAGTCTGCAGCGGGGTGAAGTGAATCATGTTGTAGCCTACAAGTAAGAAAACGGAGACCACTGCATGAGAAGGCAAACACATCAACCTGGAGCTAAGCATGGTGCACACAGGAGCTTTCTTGGCTACTTATCGCCAGTGAGACAAATGTGCCAGTAGAAAAGGAACCAATGACTTGGGACCACAAAAGACTGTCAGCAAATCTACCCAAGGCTTTCAGGCGATCACTGTCCCCATCTACGAGAAGTGGGTTATGACACGGTCTGCTTGGTAACCATCACCACACTGCTAAGCTCTTATCAGAGTCAACAGTAATTGCTGGCAGGACAGAGCTGCATGAACAAAATACCCTACACAAGTGTAACACTTTAAGTGTTCTGTGGGACTTGCGTTCGTAATAGTTACGCCACTGAAACTTTCAGTCCCTTCTTTATAGTAAATTTAGTTCGAAACTAGAATGTTGGTACTATCTTACTTTACTCAAAAGGAAAATTCATTTTATTCTTGGCATGACCAGAAGCATATCCCTTTTATATGGAAAAGGATAACTCAAATTGGCTAATTAAAATTATATATAATAACTCATTTTCCTTCATCTTAACAGCCTTATTACTAGCATTCACGTGCCCCATAAAAATCTTAAAAATGATAATCATTTCACTTCATGACCAAGTGCCACCCTTTGCTAACCTGACCTGAAGCTGCAGGGCGATTGGTAAAGAAAAGTCCCCAGACTATCTTGATACAAAATATATAGCTTTAATAAACAGAAGTAAGACTTACAACAGCTTATACCAGAATCCAACCGATCTGTCCGGACACAAAAGCCAGGCGAAAAGAGAGCTAGCGGAGCGCGTTTGCAAGGTTTATAGGCAGGTTTTTGCCTGAGGGCGGCACGCCCCGAAAACAGAATATGATTGGCTGAACTCCCCTACCACTGACCCACAGAACCTGGCATCTGGAGAAGCTGTGGATTTTAATTTTCTCACTACATCAGTAAGCAAGATTAGAAGGAGAAGGAAAGCCTTTGAGACCTGCATCATAGCAACTATGTCTAGTTTTAAAAAGACAAAGAAAGCAAACTGAACACTACCTGACTCCTTTGCAACCCTTAGTCTGCTTTCCCACTCATCAAAGGGTCCTAAACACTTCGCTAAAAATGTCTGGAGAGTAACACAGTCCAAGGGTAACACGTGATTGTCAGCTCCAACACGTAAAACAGGATCCACGACTATGTAACCTCCGCCACTTTTCTCATTTCTAAGGGAAAATAAACCACAACAGTTTTAATTAGTTGGAGGGAAAAATCATTAATTCAGTTTGACTTTATCTGGAAGGTTAATTGCCCATTTAACCCCCTTCCTCCCTCTCTCCCTCTCTCCCTCCCTCCCTCTCTCCCTCTCTCTCTTCCTCCCTTCCTTTCATCCCGGGTCCCATGTAGACCAGGCTGCCTCAAACTTACGATGCAGTGGAGGAAGACCCTGAACTCCAGATCTTCCTGGAGTTTACTTTTAAGTATATAAAGGTATTTTTCCAGGGGCTGGAGAGATGGCTCAGTGGTTAAGAGCACTGCACTGGCTGCTCTTCCAGAGGACTTGAGTTCAATTCCCAGCACCCACAGGGCAGCTCATAGCTGTCTGTTATCCCAGTTCTGGTATACCATAAGCCTTCACACAGACATGCATGTAAGCAAAACACCACTGCACATGAAATAAAAATAAATGGATCGTTTTTTAAAAGTCATTGACAAGTTTGCAATAAAACATATATAATAGGCCTTTTCTTTTCTTTCATTTTTGATTACGTATTCGTGTCTGACAGTGTGACCACTTGAAAGAAGATGCCTATAGAGGCCAGAAGAGGATGATGGATCTCCTGGAGCTGGAGTTACAGAAGGTTGTGAGCCATCTGATGTGAAGGTTGGAAACAAAACTTGGGTTCTCAATGAGAGCAGTTCAAGCTCTTGACCACTGAGCCATCTTTCCAGCCCCAGAACAGGTATTTTCTATCTTTCTCAACTACTACTGATATCCACAGAATAGAATATGACATCCAGTAACACTGACTTATCAGAAAATAAATACACTAATGTCTATCAACAACAATATCATTCAAATAAATAGTATCCTCTAGACCGATGGCAGGAAGAGCTTGGAGTTTAACTACAAACAACCTGAATCTGCAATAAGCTACACAGTCACCTCATCAAAACTGAAGAATCACAGCCTAATCGTATCTTAAGAAAGCACTGTAGTTAGGCAGGTGACATACGCTTTTAATCCAAGCACTTGGGGCCGGCAAATCTCTGAGTTTGAGGCCAGCCTGGTCTACAAGAGCGAGTTCCAGGACAACCTGGGAAATACAAAAAACCCTATCTTGAAAAAACAAAAAAGTTAAAAAAAAATAAAAAAAAAGAAAAAACAAAAAAGTAAAGCAATCAAACAAAAAACCCTGTAAAAACTGCACCACCATGGCTTCTCACAGTAACACTTACAGTCAGATGACTTAAGTTGTAGAATACATCAACTCCTGGCTTACCCTTGAAGAAAGTAGTACTGAAAAGAGCCAGACTGCAGCAGGTGAAGTTTACAGTATTTATCGGAATCATCTTCTCTTTCTGTTGGGTTTTCCCAGTCCAACGAACGGAATTTTTCTCGATTAAATGGTTCTCCAGGAAATGGGTAATTCGTATACACAGTCACAGCTTTCCCCTGTAAAGTCGGGCCTAATCGGAACTGTAGTTCAAACCCTAAACAAAAGCATGTGAATAAACCACTTTAATCAACTCACTGAAGGACTCAGTATTCAAACAGGTTTTTTACTTAAAACATTTTATAAAAACTCATAAATTTTCAAGTATTCTTAAGATAAGCTGTCATACCTAATTTATTTTGGAGTGCTTAGCATTTGATTTAGCTGAACTTTGTATTTTAGCACATAGAATATGCACCCAGAGCCATCTCCTTCACAGTGTCCTCTCTTCCGTTCCTCACAATCTGATTTCTAGTCATACATTGAGTACACAGGTTCTTACCTGGCATGTGACCCTAATCCCTCCACCATTCCACTTTGAACCCTAAACTGTCACCCCTCAATCAATACCTACAGGTGGGTATCAGAGATCTCTGCTATTTCACAGACCACAATGAAAAAAAGTCAGTATCTATGCCAGAGAATGAGATTGTATGCAAAACTTGGGAGATGTCATAGGACAGCTGTCCTGCTGCACAGACTGTAGTCTCAGCAAGTACCTGGAAGCATTGCAATGAGTCTCTAAAACCTGCTCAAACAAGTAGTGTGCCAAGGAAGGTCTAACAACAGTCCTTAGGAATGGGAAGTACTAGCTTGTAGTATTTGTTGACTTCCTTACAGAATGACCCCACCATGGATGATCTAAAATTACCAAACACATCAGGGAGCTCAGATTTGGGAAGAGACGTGTGCAGTTGGTTCTTATGAGCCAGCATATTTGCCAGCAATGCACGGCAGCCTATATCCATATATCTCATGATTATTAAAACTTTGTGAATCCCAGAAGCCAAGATATGCCCATGTTTACCAAAGTAAGGCTGTTTCAAGACTTTCATTTTGTGTCACAGATATTTTGTTATAAGGGGGAAAATCACATACATTATAGTTAAAATTACACTTAACTCAAGAAAAAGTTTAGGTTGGTTTATAGTAGGCTTTAAAAATTATTTCTTTTATTTTTGAGATTATAATTATATAATTTAGTCCTTTCTTTCCTCCCTTCAATATACCCCTTCTGGCTCTCTTTCAAATGAATGACTTTTTTCATTGTTGTTACATATGTATACATACAATACATATATACATATTCCTAAAAACATAAACACAGCCTGTCCAGTGTTGGGAGCATAGCACAAAGGTCCTTGAGCCTAAAGATCTCCAGAAAAACCATCAATGTTAAGCATACACATTGTCTTTCCAATGGAAAAGATTAAAAACCTGTTCTTCCATTCAGGAAACTGAGAGTTGGAAGTAATTAACAGTCTAGTGATCTGTGTTATCTGTTGAGTCAGGTCATATCAAGCCCCTACAACTAGGACTGGAGGTGGCTATTAATCCAAATAGCCCTTGTAGCCAGAGGCTCCCCCAAACTCCCACAACCAGGACCAGAGGTGGCTAATAGCCCAAATGACCTCTACATTATCTACTGAGACCAGGCCAGACCCTTGGGCTTTAAGCTAGTACAGGTAGCCTATCTCTAGAATCCATCTTCTTGGAGGAAATGACATGTACCCCAAGTTGAATTTCAATGTAATTATGCTCCTTTGTGCATTGAGGATTGTATTACACCAGGAAGCCTTTTTTTTTTTTAAATTGTACTGGGCTAAAATATATTGGGAGTAAACTGTCTGCTACTAGACTCCCCAAAGTCTGATCTAGGTTGATGAAGTCAATCCCCACTGGGTTTTCTCTTATCTCTTCGCATGGTTTGTTTTCATGTCTGACACTTTAACTGGCCGATGTCCAGTTTGCTATTCAGATATACCTAATAGACAGTCCTTAAATGGTTCAGAGATTTGTGGAATACGACATTTAAAGTGTTTAAGCTCCCCATAATAGACAGAATTCCTAGTGGAACCCTTAAGATATCCAAAGAAGATAGATGGGGCATGAGAACTCCACCTGGATTGTGGTGATGCTAACCACTGGGCAAAACTGCCCCAGGCCTCCCTTGTTGCCAGGGCTCTGCTCAAATTGTGGTCATTTTGGGTTGATTGCCCTACTTTGCCTTGTCAAAGTATGGTCAGTCCTCCAAGTTGCTCCTCTACAGAAAAATCTGAGACCTGGGTCTGGCAACCAAAGGCCTATGCTGCTCTGTAGACAGCCAAAGACCTACAACTACTGCCCCCAACAAAACTATGGAGACCACTGGAGCCTAAAGTAACCCATTCAGGTAATGGGTCTCTGTCAATTTAATTGATACCTAGACCACTTCTGAACAGAAACAGAGGAGGAGTGGATGGAGGGTGTGGAGGCAGAAGAGGGAATGAAAGGAGAGGAGGGAGGGGAAACTTAAGTTGGGATGCAAAATAAATAAATAAATAAATAAATAAATAAATAAATAAATAAATAAGTAACCTGAGCATGGGAATGCATGTCTGTAATCCCAGCAATGGAGACAAAGGGCTCCTTGGGGTTTCCTGGCAACCTGGCCTAGCCTTAATGGCAACCCCAGTGCCACCCTAAGTAACAACACCCAAGACTAATCTTGGCCTTCATGTGAACATAAACACCTGCACATAAATGTGCACCTGCACACATGTGGACATGCATACACATATACATACATATACATACACAAACAAATATTCTGAATAAAAGTAGTGCAAGTTCATAAGTCTCTGTGCCCCATTTAGGCCACAATTTCAATATCTTCTATTATATCTGGTTTTCTGGAGCAGTGACCTTTGATGCTAATTTGCTTTGGGCTACTATTAACTGGGCTCGCTTAAGATGGAGCAGTTAGCTGCTAAACCTGTTGCTCTGACTGCTCCTACAGCTAATCCCCACCCTTCAATGATTCCCCAGGCTGCCTTATTTCCAGAGATATAACAGTACTGATACTAGGATGATCAATAACCTTAACTTACTAAGAGAAAGACAAAGTTGCCTGTTTGTCACTTTAAATCGGGCTATAAATGATCAATGCTAGCAGAGAAGGTGTGCTGAAAGTGGAGATAGTGAAGATCAGCAATGGCTTGTCAAGCTGTAAGCACAAAGACGTTCTGGAAGGAAATCAGAAGGGCTTTCCCTGTGTAAACACACTGCTGGCTTTCCCTGTAAACACACAGTGGTCTGCATGAACAACCAACACAGTCACAAAGGCTACTTAAGAGCAAGGCCTTAGCTAGCCCCAATTCTGATAGCCAAGGGGAGCGAGGAAGCTGCAGAGGGTAGTAAAACCTGTCTCATAAGCTTAAAAAAAGGAGTCGCCTCTCTAATATAAAATTCCAAACTGAAACAGCAAATGCCAACGTAGAAGCTGTAGATCTGGTTCAGGTAACTTCTAGAAGTGGTCACTACACGAGATTCAGCACAGCTGAGATAGTCTCGCGTGAGAGCACAATGGCAGCTAGGTCTTCCACAGCTCCACACACAATGCCTAGCTCCAAAATCACAGAGACAGGCTGAATCCTCAACAGTGGGAGTGCAGCTAGCGACTCTCAGGCTCTGCGGGACTGAAGTAAATCTACGTTGCCTATGCTCTATCAATAGAACAAGCCTTGGATGACAGTTTATAGGTTTTTTCTCAGAATATTTTATGACCATTTTTGATATCTAAGCACAGAAAAATGAGTCCTTTTAAACTATCATTGCCTATTGACAATGAGCTAGGCCATTCCTCCAAGAGCACTGGAGGGAATATAAAATGAGATTAATGTCATGCTTGTTAATATAACATGCTGTAACATCTACAGCCTGAGGATGAAGGAGTAAAACTGACTTTCACATATTTCTTATTTAAGGAATATAGTTTGTTAGGCTACAGTGACATCAGTAGTGCCATGTCTTTAGATTCTAGATGCCATTAACAGTATTTGTGACTCGTGGGTGATTATAAAAATAAGACCAACGGGAAGATGTTGAGTTTATTCTTACAGGCAACTGTGAGGGAGTTAAGACTTTGCTGGAAAAATTAGATACAGAATTGGAAGTAGTGTCTGGTGATATGACTGAATTGTTACAATTTTAGGATGAAAGTTTAGTGAATGATTCGTTTTAGTTTGGTTTTTGGAGCCAAGGTCTCCCTCTGCAGCCCTGGCTGCCCAAGGACTCCGACCCAGGTCAGGCCGGCCTGAGTGCAGTGATCCTTACTTCTGCTGCTCACTGCAGCCATCACAGCTCTGCCACGGAAACAAAGCAGTCAGCTGATGACGGCGCAGTGTGTCGAGAAGATTGATGCCTGTTTTAAAAGGAATTCTACTACGGATAACATGCTATCAAACAGCACCTTTTGAAATCCTTCTGGAAAAACAGGTCTGGTTGAAATACAGAGTACACAGACAAACGTAAAATACACAGCATAATACTAGGACAAGTGGGGTAAACAAACAGACTGCAAAATGGTTCTGACAGTTTTTACATGTTCCTAGAATTTTACTTGAAAAATAACTAAAATTAAAGTTGTATTAACACTGAGATTTAAAAATAACTGCATGAAGGATTAAAATATAGCTCACACACCTGTACTCCTAGAACTCAGAGGCTGAGGCAAGAAGATCACAACCTCAAGACCAACCTGGGTACATACGGAATTCAAAGCTAGCCTGGGCCACACTGTGAGATCCTTTCTCAAAAACAAAACAAAAGCTCTGTGTGTGTGCGCGCACCTATGAGCCCAGCGTTCAGCAGGCAAAAGAAGAATGATCACCAGAAAGGCAAGGCCTGCCTAGTCAATGTAGTAGGTTCCAGGCTGGCCAGGGCTAAAAATGTCATTAGAAAAACAAAACAAAACGGAATAAAAACTCCATCTCATAGCATGACCCAACTCAATCAATAAATGAAGTAATACTTTCTGATGTTCAAAATTAGAAATATCTACATTTTCTAAGACTAATTAAATTAACCATCAGGAAAAGTAGCAACATCTGGAAGATGTACAAATATCAGAGGTATTGCTGATATTTAAACAACTTGTCTTTTAAGTTTATACAAATATTGCTTTAGTAATTACACAATGATACAGAGAAACTGTAGTACAAAGGTTAAAACTCACCT